CCACATGAGGGACATCCAGCCCGATGACCAGCCAGCTGACCAAGAACTGCCCAGTCAACACAAGAACTGTGGGAAATAAAGAAACCTTTGCTGTTTTCAGCCTTCCACTACTTTTTTTTTTTTGTACTGGGGATCGAACTCAGGTCCTTGCGCTTTCAAGGCAGGCAGCGGAACCACTGAGCTAAATCCCTGGCCCAATCTTGTACTACTTTTGAGGGTGGCTTGTGACATAGCAATGAATACCTAAGATATGTATATTTTGCTAATTTGTACTATGCTCATATAAATAAATGTGTCAGTGAGATATCTCACTGATTTATTTCCTGGTTTTAAAAACATTATTATAAAAAAACTCTGCAATAAAAAGAACACAAGAAACATTTATGATTTTGAACAAGTAATTTATTCTCCCAAGTTCCATTTCCATACCTGTATATTCCTCATGGAGTTAAATAATAAGACTGACAAAAGTGAATACAACAGCCAGGTGTGATGGTTCAACGCCTATAATCTCAGCATTCTGGGAAGCTGAGGTAGTAGGATCCCAAGTTCAAGCCTAGCCGGGGCAACTTAGTAAGCTACTATCTCAAAATAAAAAATGAGGGGGTGGGGGGCTAGGTATGTAGCTCTGTGCAAAGGCCCTGAGCTCTATCCCTAGTACCAACCCCACAAAGGAAAAAAAAAAAAAAGAGAGAGAGAAAAGTGAAAGCTAAGAACCAAGGCACATTACCTTTTTAGCTGTTACCTACACATTGCTTAAAGACTTTCACTGTTTCTCCTTTGCTGCAGATATCACTTACATCCGTGTACATGACTTCTGCATTTCCGTTGTAAATTACCTCATGCATGGGCATTTGTACATACATACTGTTCACACGCACAGAGGTGCCCTGCACCCCACGGATAAGGCCCAGCACTAATCCCGGAACCTCTAAGCTTCTCCCTTTCCATTTTCTCCTGGAAGGTACAACGACCTCCTATAGCTGACAATGTGTTCCAGAGCCAGCAGAAAAGGATGAAGACACAGCAGGGTGTCTGGAAATCTAAACCAGGCTAAGGGAAAAATGAATTACTAACAGTTAAAAGTTAATTATACCATGCATAAGAATGTCTAAACAGGACCAAGTTCAGGAGAGTAGACAAACAGAAGCCAAAAATGAATGGTGGGCCATTAAAGAAAAGCAGAGTGCTAGACAGAAAGGAGGAATAATCCTCACTCAGGAAGACCAGGGTGAGGAGGGAACAATGGTACTTACTAGGGGCAGAAGGGTTAAGAGACATCCACGCATGGTGACAACATCTAGGAGTGTAGTTCTGCTTGTACAATGAAGAACAATAAATGAGTGAACTGAGAAGATGCAACTCTGATGGGAACCATGAACTCAGCCTCACACAGGTGCAGGCAGTGAAGGGCTGCACTGGAAAGGGTAATTCCACATGGTGGGAAGGAAGGAGGAAGAAATGTATTCTTTAAAATGAGGGGAGGCTGGGTGTGGTAGCACACATCTCTCATCCCAGCATTTGAAAAGCCGAGGCAAGAGGATCAAGAGTTCGAGACCAGCCTGGACACAGGGACCCTAGTGTAACAAAAAAGAAGAGAAAAGATGTGGCAAAGCCCACAATCTCCTTTTCTAGTCTCTGAAAGTATAAATATTTCCCAAAAAGGGGCTGTTACTATCACCAAAGGCAAATTGATAAAGCTGAAGTTTCAGATCTTTTACCTTATTCTTTCCTAAATGTACAAAAGGGTTCTTCCCCACCCCGTTCTCCAATAATCAGCTTTGCTCACATATGGCTCTTCATTCTCAGCAATGCTCTTCATAAATACGCAGTTAAACATCAATCACAACAGAGTTTTATATGCAGTATTCTGCAATGCTGTTCTTTATGACTAAAAATCATACTCTTCAGGAGAAGATATTTGATATGGCTCACACATAAGACTAAAGTTATAAAAGTTCTACTGTCTACATTAGGCTTTCTTCTTATTTCCATTTTTACATGATTGTTTGAGTGTTTACTTTCTTATCACAGTATGACCTGTCTCCCACCTTAATAAGCTGAAACACACAATATACTAAACTAGGCTGAGTAAGGTTGAGCAAAAGCAGGTGCATACTGGGCATTTACCAATTCACCCACTGAACGTCCTTAATGTACACAGAAAAGAAAAGAAGATACAACAGTCGAGTTCTAGAAACATCCTTTAGTTGCTAAGATGACACTTTATGCATGCAATGATGGATAACAGTGCAGGAAGTGTATGATTAACTTACAGCTTGGAGAGGCGGGATTTCCAGGGGCTGGACAGGTTACAGCCCAAGGGCCAAAGCACAAAGGCTTCAAGGATTATGTGGAATTAACTGGAGTCCTGTGGATGAAGGGTATTAGAGAAGGTGGACGGAAGGGCAGGATAGAGGCGACCAACGTGGATGGTGAGTGCAGTGGGTGGAATGGAGTTTCTGCAGTGTGGAGGAGCCCTAGACCACGAGCAAGGAGGTAGGGGAGCTGCCAAGGTTTTAAAGTGAGACAAGCATGGCATTTCCACCCAATGGCGGGGAGGTAACAAGAACATAAGAAGTCATTTTTTTTTCAACATACAAATCATCTTGGCTAAGAATGGATCCACTGGTTCACTCATTCATCAGTCAATGTAGGCTGATGTACTACATCTAGGTACTACAGGCAAAAAATACTCCATTTCCTCAAGAATCGTACAGAATAAGAGCCCCCCAAACTGCAATGATTTCAATATATTCCAAAAAGTACTATGATGAAGGGATATGAAGAATTACCAAGGAGCTGAGAGCGACACCTAAGTTATCCTTAGGGGCTGAAGTTTGAAAATACTTTAAAGAGAAGGAAGTGTAGTCATGCAGGACGGCAGAATGGCCCAGGTGGAAGGGGAAGGGGAAAGCTATTCAGGAAGAGGAGCTGCAGATGCAAGGCCCAGAGTAGGAGCACACGCGGGGCAGGGCCCGCGTCAGGTGGGAGCGCAGGATGTGTGTGCAGCAGGGCAGAGGCTAAGCCTGGGTCACCGGCTGCCTGTAATACAGGAAACCAGAGTGCTGTGAGAACTTATCCTTTCTTTGCTAATAATTTACAGTGGGATTCTGAATGACTTCCTCTTTGTATTTTCAATTTTATCACTAGAGGTACCTCTGACTTAGAGCATTCTTCAGTTGAATACCAGAGTCAAAATTATGTCAATACAAAAACAAATACTGTAAAGTTTACATTTACTAGATTCACCGAAGCTTAGGGATACAATGAAAGGCATCTAGTTCTCCCTCCCTTCCGACATAACATTTCTCTTGTTCACCCCTGGCAGGTGCCTGTCCAGATGGAAAAAGATCTGTCCGGTGCCAGGGCGCTCAGCTGGGCTCGGGAAGTAGCCCAATTCATTGCTGAACAGCACTAGTGAGAAAGGTTTTTCTTAAAGTGAGAGTCAAGGTGCCTTCCTGCATCTTTTACCCATTCTGACTCCCTACTCTGCCTCCTATATGCGGACGGGGCTATGTTATGTTTATGTATCGAGGACTTCTTAGTTATTAACTGGATTAGCTTTGATTAATAAGATTCTCCAATATAATGTATCACATCTTCCTTTCTGTGAAGACCTTGAAGAGACATCTGTTACTGTTAAGCAACGCAATACTTTCTCCTCCGGTGATGAGTGATACCTTATGCATGCACAGTATTTCACCCCTTTCCAAGGATCTTCACATAAATTATCACATTTTAATGTCATTAGAAGGTTGCTGAGCCACTTTAGCACACTGTCATCACAAAAATCTTTGTATCTGTTTTATGATACAATATAAAGGGCCTGTCTGACAGACCTGTTTCTTCCAGGACAAAGCCCAGGACATCAAAATCTAAGGCATTTTAAGAGAGAAAAGAAGAAAAAGGATTTAGCAGAACAGAACTGATCTCTACTCCTATTACCGACCAAAAATTGGTATTTTTACTTCATGATGGATCACATATAGCCCCAGCTCATGAAACTGTATCTGTAACTATACCTACCCATGCGACAAAGCTAGATGTCAAAGGCCTAGCACTGGAACTGGCACTGAGGGAAAGAGGTTAGAAATGGAGTTAAATAAGGCCCAGTTTAAACTCTTCATAATCTGCGTAGAACCAAAGTTGAAAGCTATGAGATGATATTCTCATAGTTCTAAGTCTCATGACTCAGACATGCAAAGGACAGAGGAGAAGCTGTGGTAGAGCAGAGGGATGGTGAGCATGCGTTGGGGAAGTAGACTGTAAACCCTGGAAGACACAGAGGGGTCCTTTGTAGCCTGTCAAGGACAGGAACCAAGGGCCCTCACGACTGGAAAGGGCTAGTGCTACAGAGCTAGATGGCTGCCCTGCTAGAATTAAAATGACAGCAGCTTTCCACACCACCAAGCCAAAGAGAGACGTGTTTGTTGTTCCAGAAAACATTCTAAGAATTCAGATACCTCTTTGCCTCAGTAAGAAGTGAGTTTGGGCAGATGAGTGATTCAGATGATAAGGGTCCCAGGGGTGGGGGTAGCTCCACGAGGCGTGCAGGGTTTCATGGCATTGGACACACTGCTTAAGCACCTACAAAACTCACTGCAGAAGATCGAATGACAGGCCTACTATGGGTGGACACCTCACTGTCTGTCTCCCTAGCTACACACAGAGTGGCAGATTCGCCTGTCTAGTTCCCAGCCCTCAAAACTGCATGAGCGCCCTTCCAGGAAGAAATCTATAAGAATTAGTGACTTAACCTGATGACACCTGCTTTGATCTAAGGAAAGACATATGTAAACAGCAATGTAACAGTTAACAGCTCAGTGACTTCTCTAGAGAAACAGGAAAATGTTAGGTTTCCCAAGGGAAAACAAGCTGCATACTTGGTATCCGTGCTGCCGAAGCGAGCACCCAAGCCACACACTCAGCACTGTTCCTCAGAGGGTGCTAACATACAAGACAGAGAAGAGGACTCCGTGAGCGGGTGACAAACTGACCTTGCCGGCAGGGTACAGCAGCCATCCGCCGTGAGCCGCACTTGAGTTTCGTAGCTGTCCAGGGGGCACACTGTCTGCTGGACCGAGGGGCACTCCACAGTGCTGCAGTCCACGCTGAAAACTGAAAGGGGCAAACATAGGGACGCCATTTACTGTGACATTTACTTGCATTTTGAGACCCCAAATGAAGCGCTGCTGGCTCTTAGCAAGTTTCCGGTTTCCCTGATCCCAGAAACCCTGTTCTAGTGCGGCCATTTTTTGTTTCAGTCAATGCTATAAAACTGCAACGTGCCCCAAATTTTCTGATTCAGAGGTGAGGACATTTTGTAGTTAAAATGAAGACAGAGAGATTGACAGTGGTTACACTGATGACGATGGTCAGCCGGAGGCGTTTCTGATAGAATAGTTCAAGAGATGGACACACGATCGTGCTGCTTGAAGCATTTGCCTAGCAGTAAAAATGAAGCCACAAAAATTTAAAGAAAAAAGATAAAACTGACCAACCATGAAAAGGTAGCAAAGAGGAAATCACCAGAACCCACAAGGGCTCACAGACCACTTTAGACATGCTGTCACAGGAGCACAGATGTTAGACATAACAGACAGCAAGAGATGACGACAAACCAAGCGCTGGCAAAGTAGGCGAGCTAGCAGTGAGAGATGGCTTAGCACACAGTGCAGCGTCGGGATGGGTGGCAGGGGACTGGCGAGGAGAGAGCTGGGGCTGAGTGCTTTCTTATAGAACGCCTGGCATTTTGACGCATACACTTACTTAAAAATAGCCTTTTTTACACACCATTATTGTTTTTAAACGGAGTATTTTAACGTGATAGATACATCTGCGAATGAAGGCTCTGACCTCTGGGGGAACAAAGCAGGTAGCCATAGTGCCATAAATTTATCCCCTCCCCCAGTCAAGTACACTTTGGAGGAAAATAAGAGAAAAAGACACCCTTCCCTCCCTGAAGGTGCTCACATACCAGAGCCCTTGCGTACCTGGTTTGCACTCATAGAGGTCACAGCACTCTCCCGGCTTCCCTGAGGCTTTTGACACTAGTATATTCAGGTATCCTGGCTGGCAGACTTTGCGCAGGCAGCCCGCAGGGTCACACACGCAGCGGCTGGGTAGGGGGCAGCACTCCCCGGGGGGAGCGTAGCCCTCGATCAGAACAGAGTCTTCAGGGCAACGTGGAGAGAACTGCACTTCACAGCGGGCCTTGGAGCAATCTGGCTTCTCTTCTAAACGGGAGAGAAAGAATTTAACTCATGCCCAGGGCAGAGTGGGGTACTTTCCTCAGAAGCACAGATGGTCCTGAGAATTTATTTACTAACCAAAGAGCAGGGTAAAGAAAGAAATCCGGTGAAAACCCTCAGACTTAGGTTAGCCAACCATGAAAATCTCTCCTAAAATATGAGCCTCGGGTTCTCTTTTCTTCCATCTTCTTATTGGCCTGTGTTGAACAATCAATGCCTAGAGCAATGCCTGAAATGAAGAAAGGCAAAGCGAAGAAGCACGGAGGGCATGAAAACTGAAAACTAGACTTGGTCCTGAGCTGACTGACTTTTCTTTGAATCCAAAATGTTTAAGGACTGCTCTTTGAAAAAGAGCATTTAAATCCCCCAAGAGGCACACACACGAATCGGGACACTCCAGGGACTGGAGACAACATGGATGGTAACACAGAACACTCCCTCCAAACTCTGAGCTTGCCCGGACTGTGGCAGCTTAACATGATAGAGAATGAGTGTATTCGCCACATAACTCCCCTAAATGGCCTCTGGTACGTCCCTCTCTGGCACAGATGTTGTGAATGTACCTCATTCTCCGGTCTCCAGTTTTATCTGCTCACCTGCTGAGGTTCCTCAGTTTTAGACTGGACAAAAAAGGGGGGTTTTAGCCAACAATTTTAGGACAGGGTAGCAGAGCCCTTGTTTCTTAAGCCCCAGTTCACAGCTCTCTTTGCTGATTTAAACTTTAAGAAACCTACACAACACAAGGTCCTCAGGAAAAGATTGAAACCAAAAAGACGTCATTGTACCCCATGAGTTTTGGTTGGGGGAGTTCCACTGATGGGGAAAAATGACACTAGGTAATACTAGAATACATCTCTTTCAGCTTAACTCTTTCCTAAAGTAAAACCCAGCGACACAACTGGATAACAGAAGTAGACCCAATAAGTCACCTAGTTTAGTCTCATTTTGAAGATAAAGAACTTGAAGCAAAAAGCCTCAGCAGTGATAGAATGTCAGCAAATCTAAGCCCCTCACTGCCGGTTTACTCTGCTCTTACTATCACAAGAGCAGAGGTGTTTCCCAATCCAAGCCTGCTGCTCCTTTCCTCTGCTCATTTGCTAGTTTGATTGCTGTACCTTTCATTTTAGCTTTCTCATCTACTTCTTGTCTAATTAAGGCACAGTATATATAGGACAGGGATGGTGAACCTTTCAGAGCTCACAATGATAACCATCAGCCGGCTGTGGCAAGCATGTCACAGGCTCGCCACCTCTGGTATAGGACACCATTCACACTCATAGTTCCAGGAAATTCATTTTAAAATATGAACTCAGCACTGGCTTTTCTAGCAGCTTGGAATATATTAGTAAAGACAAAAAGCCAAGATCTCTGTCCTCACACGGTTCATAAGGCAGTGAAGGGGCGGAGGTCCAGGGAAAAGAAAAAAGAAATACATAACAGAAACAAATTATCTAACAGTAAAGCATAACATGGGTCAGAACAGAGTAAGGGGAGTCAGAGTGCAGGAAGGAGGCACAGTTATGATGCAGTCCACATGGGGACAGAGAAAAGCTGAAGGGATTTGTAGGAGTGAGAAGTATGCCAAGGAGAAGCCAGAGGAACGTTCCAGCAGAGGGAAGCAGACCTGCACCTGTGGTTCAGATCAGAGCAGGGAGGCAGTGGGGCTGGGACAGCGTGAGCAAGAGGTCAGGTGGACAAAGGGGGACTGCATCATTCAGAGCCCCTCAGGATTACGCAGGAGGAAGGAGGAGTAATTCAGAAAAATGGGTGCCCTCTTGATAGTGCGGGGAGAAGAGACGCAGAAGGAGGCTGAAAGGGCATCGGAGAGACCACAGCGGGGAGGTGGGTGGTGGGTGTGCTGGAAGCAGGAATGACATGATGCGGTCAGATTCTTAATATTCACGTCAGCTGCCCTCTCGTTTTTCCTGTGGGACAGCGCGCTACTTCACGGCACCAATGCCTCAGTCAGGGGCAACACTCATTCTGCCCTCTCTTCTGGCCACTGTCAACACAACAATGCCCAACCTGCAGCTCAAAGTGGCGTAGAAAGTAACACAGCCTGAGTCCTAAGAGCAGACCTCATTAACACACACCACATGCTAATGTCACAACAATCTCGTAAGATGAGTTATTATTTCCTCCATTTTACAGGTTACGAAACCGGGGTTCAGACAAGTTATGAAACTGGGGTTCAGACAGGTCAAGTTAATTGCCCAAGATGACAAAGCCCGTAAATGGTGAGGTAATGATCTGAGCCTTGGATGACCAAAGTTCCAGGTAGGTTCTCTGTAGTAACCTGCCCCGGTCTCAGGGTTGATGGGGTTAGCGTTCCACCCTGGCCTTGCCCTTCTGCCTCCCCTAGCTGACTCCACAGGACTAAGTTCTTTCTTGAGCAGAACTATGGTCTCTGTTAAAGCTGTCTAGTGTGGTTGAGTCCCTGTTCCCTCTACCAGCCTTCTCTAACGGCATGGCTCATGGGACACACTGAGCAGTCTTAGAGGATCCACCCACCCCACTTTCCTATTATGACTCCAAGGGACTGCCTCATTAAGGAGTGAACTCCACTCTCAGATCCCCATCAATGTGGGGAGAATGAATCCAAGAGCTGGACAGGAGATTCTTGACTATGGGGACTAAGTCTGAGTTCATACAGTAGACTGCTTTCCTGGCAAACACAAACACATTGTTTTATAATTAGGAAAAGCCCTGTGTCTTTAATTGCAAATAGCACTTAATTCCTACTCTTGTTAATCTGCTGTAATTAACTTATTGTAAATTACATTCTACCACATTCTTACTCTGCAACTATTTGATAGGTATAATCACGCTTTTCAAACATATGCTTCAATTAAACACGTTTCCATTAAAACCCAAAGCATTAGTTCTTGCTAGTCATCCCGCTTTTCTGCTCTATTTTAACACTCCCAACGCTGACACCTCTTGAAATGTGCTTTGCTCTTCCAGCCGAGACAGATCTGTTCACTTCTTAAAAACTGCTCTGCAACACACATGCGACAGGGCAGGCACCCCAGACAGTCTGAACCGTAAGTGAATCAGGCACTCAGAGCTTGGAGGGACCTAAGAATATTAAACATGAAGGTTCTATCTCCTTAAATGCTTTTTCAACTTTTCTCAAGAGGCTCACACCAGCTTTCTCTTATTTATTAATGCAATCAATTACTAGATTTTAAATGTTTCATCCTTGGGTTCTTAGAATAAATCCTGTTTCTAGAGACCCTCCTGGCATTTTAAGATGTTTCAGACTTTATGAACTTGAATATTGGCCATTACTTTGCTCTCTGCGTGCGCAGGTGTGTGCAGGCACACATGTTGGCGTTATTGTCTCGGTCTCATTCAGAGTTATATGAACTCTTTCAGTGAGCTCTTCAGTACTCCTCTCTCTTTCTCTGCTGTAAGACATATTTTAACACATGGATTACCTATTTGATATTTTCATACAACCCACCTATGAAACTATCTGAACTTAGTCTATCTTCTTAAAGGAGGAAGGGTTAGATTTCTTCCTGCTTATTATTCAGGTGTCTGACCTCTTTGAGAAACATTGTTACTAACATATTTTAGTAAAAGAAACATAATTCATCTAGAATTTCAAATTCAATTTAGCTTTTACTGACCAAGCTTTCATTTTTGTGCTTTGTGCTTAAGTTTCTGAATATCTTATCTTTCAGACCGTTTTGTTAGTTTTCTTGTACTGTTTTAACTTTAATACTTAGTTCTTGTCTATTACTTTTTCCTTAAAATATAATTTAAATAATGATTTTCTTCAATACTTTAGCCAAATACTAGTTTGGTCATAATCTAAATTTAGGTATGCACTGCTCTCAATGTGACTTACAATGTGACTTAAATAGGCTACAATTCAACTTTGATTGCTTCTGTGAAGTATTTTTTAGAAGAGTGCTATTAAGTTTTTGCATAGGTAGATGGAGAGGGCTTTCCTTTTGATTTTTAATAGCTTTACTGACTTGCTGCCAGTCAATGTATGTGGCACCATTTTCTACTTTTGCTAATTTCTTCAGCTGTCTATGTTTTGGGGTTTTGGCAGAATTTTAAAGTAATGGTTATTTTTTAAAAAAATATATCCTCTATTTGATGGATACTAAGTTGCACAGCTATTAAATCAAGATTATACACACCATACATTTTAAAATCTGATGTCCAAAAGGGAAACTCTCCCTATGAGCTACTAACTTCTTCTGTATTTCTACTATTTCTTTAATTTTTCAAAGCTATGCTCTTAACTTTATGAGTTGTAGGCAAACACTTCAGGCTTGTTATAATGATTTGGAAAGTTATAAAATTATGTTTTCAAAGAATTTAGATTTCTAAAATCCTTAGCCTTATCTCATAACTATTATCTCTCTTTGCTTTATTCCTCCTTTCACCCCTCTACTCCTCTCTTTAAGGATTATCTTGAACTTCAGCTCATAGCACCCCATCACCTACATATCACTACACATGAACACCACAGCACCGGAAATTGTGTTTTTGATAACTTTTTTCAATCTGCTTCTCATATATAAATTTCCCCAGAAAGTTGTTATGTATTCACCTGTATCTCTATTCATCGTTCTTCCATGAAGAAAATAAAGGAGAAACTATAGCCATACCATTTTTTTTTAAACAATGAATTTTCCAACAGGTAGAGGGCTTTGTTGACATCATTTAAAAAATTTTAATCTTATATATTTCAAAAGACATCTCTCCAAACCCCTTCCCTATGCTAACAAATCTATTTATAATACATAAGTTAATTAACAAGCTTTGTTCTTTTCCCCCAGTACTGGGGATCAAACTCAGGACTTTGGCTTTTGAGGCAGGTGCAGTGCCACTGAGCTAAATCCCTGGCCATTATTAACAAACTTTTGTATCTGGCAACACTGCAAGTGGCATCCTGGAAAAAAACTAGAGAAAAAACTTGCCCCAGTATAGAAAAACTAAAGTAACAATATGACTTGCAACAG